AGAGAGAGAGAGAGAGAGAGAGAGAGAGAGAATAATCCTATCTCGGGCGACTCTTGTTGAAGATTAAATATTAACGCTTCAGATTGATTTGCTGCATGCGTGAAGAGTGCAAGGTTGTAATACGATAAGTGGGTGAATACATTTTCAAGTTTCTGTTGGACGCGTCTGTCTATATAAATAATACTTTATGAACATTGCAGCTGATTTCGAAGAAAAGCAAAACATATCACAACTGTACTTAAAACAAAAAAGAAAATCTTCCAGAAAAACGAAACTTGTTCAGTGGGTTGGTTTTGGCAAAAAAAAAAACCCCAAGGAAAAACTCTTCATATTTGGAAATATTCCTTACCTTACAATATTTGCCGCCAGATTCTAGTAAAGGCACTGTGAACATAAGGAAAGAGAATGAAACATGTTTGTACATGTGAACATTTTCTATATAATACAGATCTAGTATCGCTTCAGGTAAGGACCCCCCCCCCCCTCTGAAAAAGGAATAAAAAATAATACAAAACTGATGGCAAATAGGAGATGAGCTTTCGATCAATGAGATCAGGCCATCAGTATCTTTCAAGAGTATCCAGGAAAGGAGGTAACATTGTTTTTAAATAGTTGAAAGATACTTTGCCCACCTTGCTCCATCAGTTTGGAACTCGCTTCTCCAACTCATGAGACATCCAACATCCGAGTCGAATTAAGAATATGTATTATTCAAAGACAAAAGGACCCCCCCCCCCCTGAAGCCCCATTTTCAGTAGCCTGCAATATTATGTAAAATGACTATGTATCTATTTATGTGTTTTCTGTTAATGTATGGATGGTATTGTGTATTACACTGTGTATTTGTAAGTGCTCACAGTTCACCCTTAACGATGTGTATGCTAGCTTGTATTATAAGAGAGACGATAATGATGATGATGATGGTGATGAAGATGAAGGTGATGATGATGAGGATGATCATGATATAAAATCCTTATATAACCTCTCTATAAACCCCTTAGCTCTGATCCCACTTCCTCTCATCTTAGCGCCATTCAGGACCAAATCCGCGATCTCGAATATCTCAACGTAATATCCCTTGATTTATTCAAGTGCATTCTTCACGGGGAGTTGTCGGGCCCCTACTTTTATGGCCTAACAAAGATCCCCAATGTACCTAACAACTATTCCAACACCCCCCCCCCACACCGCCCATTTACAGGCATTATCTCCCAAATTAAAGGTCCTACAGTCAAAGCTTCCTATTGGCTGGACAGCATCCTCCAAACCCATTGTCCCTGACTTCTGTGGTATCCACTGGGTGAAAAACAACCTCCACGTTCTCCAAATATAGAAACTATTAATTCTGAAAGCGTCCTCACTCCTAAAACTAACTTTCTGGCCATAGACGTAGTAAACATGTACAACAACAAACCACATCAAGAAGTTATTGAGGCGTGCCGCTCAGCCCTCAGAAGTCTTGCACCCTGCAACACACGTCAAACTTAAGAAATTTGCAAACTGTTGAAACTAGTCCTCACCCTCAATAATTTTTCATTCAACAATCAAAATTTTCCCCAACTGACCGGCCCAGCGATGGGTACCCCAGTAGCCCCCTCCTATGCCAACATTTTTATGGCCGAATTTTGACGCAAATACGTCTCCCCCCTTTCAAACCAACCGCTTCTACTTAAGCGTTACAAGGACGACATTATCGCCCTGCACAATGGTTGCTCTAAAACAACCCAAAACGGCCAGCATAAAACATTACAGAAAAATCAGACAAAATGAAAACCTGTTTCCCCGTAATCCCCCTCTGATTGCACTTCGACAGCCCCTAATCTTGGCAACCTCCTCATTCGTACGAGAGCCGTAACACCCACATCCTCACCTCCGATAAGCCCATGTTCCCCATCTCAAAATTATCCTGTCAAAAACCTAGATGCAAAACATGTGCTTACATGAAAGTGACCAACTTTGTAGAAGGACCCCGCTTTAAAACAAAACTTTCTCGGAGCATCACCTGTGAAGCCAAGAACGCAATTTACGTCATATCACGTAAAGTCTGTCCAGCACAATAGGTAGGCTAAACTCACACCTAGAGCTAGGTTTAATAACCTTAGGTATTCAGTACAGAAAAACTCCAGCACACCAGTCGCCCAACATTTCAACAGTCCTGGTCACAGTGGAGCCTCCGATCTGCAGCTTCAGGGTACTGAATTTGTTCGATATCCTACTAAAGACAAACTCAGTCAAAGAGAATCAATGTGGATTTGAAACTTGGGGTCTCACCAAATTCACACTGGTCTTAACATCGACGAGTCACATTTCAGGGCCCTTAAATTTACCATGTCCGTAGGGTACAAATCACCCCTTGTATTCCACTACTCCCGGCCCTGCCTTTCCGTTACACTCATTACCCTCTCGCACTTGTTTCCCCTACAAATGTCTGACTTTCTCTTTTAAAAAAATGGTACTATACAACTACTTCTTCCATAGTGACAACGATAAATCATATAGTGTGTCCATCTATGTCAGATGTGGACAAATGCGAAGTAGATTAGCCTGTACAGCGGGGTAGAAGAAATACGGACTGAGTTGACGTGTGCTTTTCTACCTTAGCTTTGAGCTCGATTCGAGCGGACAAGAATACATGTAGATGTATGCTACTACTACTACTACTACTACTACTACTACTACTACTACTACTACTACTACT